GTATCTGTAAATCTCAATAAACCCACCAAAATTCACCTCTGCCAACTTGCCTCTGCTTTTGGGTCCTCAACCCAACACCGCTTCTTGACAGATTTGAGATATTTTTATACGGCACAGCCAGGTATCAGGTATTGGGGCCAAAAATTAGCATCGACTGGGCTTAGGTGACCTCCTGCCATCATCGCCCATCATCTCATTGTTGCACCAGCTAGTTTGAAGTATTTCTGCTGTAAAATAGCAGTTTATGCATGCTGCTGTGTGTTTATGTGTATGTGTCTGTTACTTACCAAACCAAGCCTGCTGCTCTCCTTGAACCTCAATAGCCAGTCCAAAGTCGGCCAGTTTCACAGCTGCGTTCTTACACTTGCTGGCCAGCAGCAGGTTCTCCGGCTGCAAGCGTGACAAAAAACATGAGCAGTCACTTCAGCACTGCTACGTGTATCGATAGCAGAGGGAGTCGGGATCTGTAAAGCAAAGCTTCAAACTGCTTAGACAATTCAGTGGTGAAATGACTGAGGTTCATTTTGGCTGCCTTGCAAAAGTATTTGTTCCCTTTGTGCAATTTCTACACTAGCTCCCCCAAAAAACACAGTTTAATTGTTTTTTCTGTTTATAAAATTAATATTTTGGTACACCTTTGTCTGCAGCTCATTTTACTTTGAGTCTACATGTGTGAAATGTAATCTGAGTATAAATGCAGTTTTTCTGTCATTAACAAACAGCCTCATGAAGACCAAGAAACACAGCAGACACGTTAAAATGATTTCCTCAGGCAGGAAATAAAGAGCTGATCTGAGTTCTTAGGCAGGGATCAAATTCTAAATTATCCAGTGAGACCATTTATTAGAGGCTACAAACAACAGCAGGTTCAACCTTCCAGCAGATTGGAAGGCCTAAAGATACAGTCAGAGCTACATGTGTTAGGTTGGCCTAGTCAAAGCCCAAGCATAAATCTGAGAGACATAGAAAGATTTAAAGAACATGTTTTGTAAATAGATTTTTGATGAAAAAAAAAATAAATTCCAGGAACAAAGCTTAAAAAAAAATCAGAATAAAAAATGTTCTGGGAGCAACTTTGTGTTTTTTATTCAGATTTTATTAAATATATATATTTATATTTTTCAGAAAGAGTATTATAAATTGCATTGTTTTAAAGTCGTAGGGAAGCGGCTGTTCCAACCGTTTCATTTCTGATTTCTCCCGAATGGTGCACAACTTTACACGAGTGAATAAAGTGAATGTGATTGGTCGATTATCAAGGATCGTAGCTAACTAGTTAGCAATGATAGTGGGTTCCCAATGGGAAATTCCATTGGGACAAAGTAGCACTTAATAGGTGACTTTGCAACGATACTGTCAAGGAACGCTATGGACAGAGGACCTGCTTCAACCTTGTTTCCAATAAATTGGCAGATCTCTTTGCAGTCTATTCAACACTGTTGTACAAGCTTGCCACTCGATTGGTTTTCCCCGGTGTAATCTAAACGTTCCCTCTAACTTTCTGTAATCTTTCTGCCACTGAGAAAGCTTGATTTAAACATTGGAAAAGTAGTGTACAGTGGTGTAGTACAATGGCTAGTCACATGTTTTTTTTGCACAAACGACAACAATAGTCCAACTCCATGATCTCAACATTACAATTTGATATGATTTCCCCACGACTTTAAAGTTGGTGCTTTAAAGATCACATTCTTTTCACTTTAAGCTCAATGCCAACCCTCGTTCTTGACCAGTACAAATGGTGTGGCTAACGTCCATGTAGACCAATACAAATCTCTTTAAAATGTCTTTGCTCCAGAGTTAAAGAGAAATGAAGAGATGTGATCTCTAAACCGCAATTTGAAAAAACAGAAACATTTCTTAAAATGTTACTGGAAAACACAAAATCTTTCACAAAATAAAATGATAGTAAAAATACGAAAGAAAGATTTAATATTAAGTGGATAAAATAAAGAAATAAAAAAAAACCTGTGAAAAAAGCAAATTTACTCTCAAAACTTTAGTTTTGATTCAAGCCTTTTTTAGTTTAATTTCTGGACTGCATTTATTTTTAATTTCCTTTTACAAAACATGTTCTTTGGAATTCACTCCGTATCGATGCACCCCATATAGCCTGACTGAGCTGTAAAATCAGGCACAATTTTCACTCTATAGATCTGCAAAGCTGGTATACACATACAGCTAAAGATCTAATATGAGTTAAGGGTGGTTACAAAAGTTAAAAACTCCCCTTTTACAATTTTTTTTTTTGCAACAGATAAAACAAACAAACCAAAAAGAACCTCACAATTAGGACATCCTTTACATCAGTGCAGCAATTAAATCTAATTAAGTTTCAGTGGTTTGGGTACTTTTGCAAGGCGCTGGAATGTTTTGATTTCCTCCTGTTGGACGACCAAACTCACACCTGCACCCGAACCAGTGAGTGTGGTTCCAGTGCACGTCTGAGTGTGAACCTCTGATCTCCTCGAACATCACCAGCGTGAAAAAACAACTTTCTGAACTTCGACTGAGAGCTAACAAAGCATTTTAACCTGCTATCGCATATAATCACTTTCCAAAACAGAGTTAGCATAGAGTTCAGCAATTTAACAGCAGCTTTGTTACCTTGGCAACAGGAGATAAGAAAAGCCTGCTAAGATGTCAGCTTTCTGTACTTTATATGGTTTTATATGATAAAGTGTTATAAAATAAGCAAACCCCTTTTAATTGTAGAATACTTTTGGTTTGTCTGATTGTTCTTAGCTTCATGTCATCCTTGTGGCCACTCTATTTGTTTATTTCTATGATAATTTGACATTCTATGAGAATTGTCCTCATATATGTGTTTTTTTCTTCATTCATTTTCTCTGTCTTTATACCAGAACAGAATCTGTTCATGTCCTCTTCAGGCACTGTCTCTGTTTTTGTTGTAGTTGTGTGAATGCTGTAAAGCATTCATTAAAATTAACATATGATTTCACACTTTAATTTGGATTTAATACCATCTTCAGCAACATTTCACTTCCTACTCCTTTTATTCTTCAACCAGATAAGATTCAAGTTTGTTTTTTTTTTTGCTATTTTTTTTTTGCTGTTTCTGCTATTTTATAAAATTTCAGCTTTTTTTTTTTTTAATTTTGGCTTGATTCTGCTCTCTTTCTGGACAAGCATTAAGCTTTTCTGTTTGCTGTTACTTCATAAAATATCTGCCATGTTTCTGCTTGTGGCTTCCACTATTTTTTGGAAAGTTATTCAGCATTTTGTTTTCTGTTAATTCAAACCATTTCAGCAGTTTTTGCTTTAAATTTCAGCTTGTTTTTGCCATTTCAACTGTACCGTTTACAGTTTAACGTACAACATTCACACTGCATTTTCGTAGGAAAAGCAACTTTTTCTATTTTTCATTTCACCTTCTTACAGCCGGGAACTTATGGAGTGAATTCTGTTCCATTATTGTTGAAGGCAAAGAAGACATTTTCTTAATTGAAATTTGAAAGAAAAAATTATATCCAGAAAATTAAATTTCTGAAAATTTTGGTTTAATTATTCAAATATTTTCCTTCTTTTTTATATTTCTAATTGGTATTTTCTCTCTTTTTTTCAAATATAATTCGATTAATTTCAAGTTAAGCTTTACAGATCACATTCTCTTCACTTCTGGGGGCGGGCCTTCTTCTGGAGTGATAAGCAAGGAAGCATTTCTATTGGTCTGCTGGAGCAACATTAGCAACATTTTCATTAATAAACAGAAAGCATTTTTATTCAGTTTGAAGAGAAAAAAAGTGATCTATAAAATGCAAATTGAAAATAATGATATTTATAAAGCCTAATCTAAAGAAGAGAATTAAAAAAATATATAAAATCTGTAAAAATAACTGAAAAAATTCAATATTATTAATTCAAAAATATATATATTTTTTTAAAGTTCCTCCCAAAATCTTGTTCTCTTTCATTTCTGGATTGATTTTTTTTTCTGAAATTAAAAATTTACTAAACATGTTCTTTGCTTCAAAATTAATGGACAAAATCACTCCATATATCTTAAAACTTAACGCTGACATAAATGTTTACTTTTTTCAGTTTTCTTATCAAATGCAACATATTTAAATAGTTAAACACATTTTAAATCACAATCTTAGAGTTGCATCATAAAACGCTCTGTTCCTTGTTCTTTATAGGAGATTAAAGAGAAGCTCAGTTACTCTGACATTCGAGGACTAACAACAGCTGTGGATGCAGCTCAGGATGAGACTGACAGATGGGGCCAAACGCCTTTTTGCTGTTTTGTTTTTTTATTTGGAAGAAAACATCACATGTCTGCCTGCAGTAGGGGTGTCTGTACTGTTCAGATGCTGATTTACTAACAAGACGGAAAACAGAATCTGACTATAAATCATTATTTACCACCGATGACTTCAGGGGAAACGAGAAGCATCTGAGCTTCTTTCTGACTGTTACAGCGAGAAGCTGCAAATATGGAAATAGTGGTTATTTCTAGATGTGTACTGCTGGCTTTGTTTTTTTTTTGGACAAGTCTCGTCTAAAAAGACTTATTCTTACAATTTTAAGTCTCAGCATATTTCTACGGGGGCCTCAGTTGCGTGGAGGAGCAGCTCTACCATAAGTTGACTCTCTAAGACGCATCTCTTCCTCATTTGCAGAATGAGGCAGAAATACGGACAGAAATGTAAAAAACACAAAATAGGAGGGTTGGGTTTTTGAGGATATGTCAGCTTTTCAATGAATTGTTAGTCTATTGATAAGATAAATCAACTTTACAATAATTCAATAATAATTAACTTCCATCCATAGTTCCATAATTATTCTGGTTCTTTTTCTCTAAAAATAAATGAGTCGGTATGATTCTAAAATCGTATTCATTTTTGTAATGTATCATCAGTTGATAAAGATGGGGACACAAAAAAAAAAACACTTAATACTTTTCACGGATTAAAAATGCAGTGTTTGCATCTTGTTATAATGATTAGTTTTCACTAGTGTTGCACCGATACCAGTATCAAGCGGGGCCCAGATCCAGTGCTAAAATGGTGGTATCGACATCGGCGAGTACCAACAAATAGGGCAAAGATACCATTTTGATATTTGTATGTCACTAAAACGCAGCCTTCTTTCTCCCGACACTCACTAGTCTTAACTATCTATCTATGAGAGCGAGCCAATAGCCAATCCCAACCAAAGCTGGGGTTTTCATGCGGTGGGGAAAAAAAGCAGGAGAAGAAAATGTCTGCGGTGTTGAAGTATTTCGTTATAGAAACGCCGGCGAGTGTATTGGATAAATGGAGCCTAGCCGGAGATTCAACTGAAGAAACTGATTGCTCTCCTACATCCACCTACGATACAGCCAATCAGCTTTGAACCACACCTCCACTAAAGTCAATCAGCTTCCAAAGTTCACCTTAAAAGGTCTCCGATCCACAACTCATCTGCTCCAGTGTGCAGGCAGCAGATGCGCTGTGTGACTTCATTCAGATGACCCCTTTTAACCCACCTTCAGCTCCTCCTCCACCATTTTAGCTAAAGCTTCATCAGAGTGTCATTCCTCCCGGACTCTTACTGCGTTCTGCATCTCATTTCATCCGGTCCAGCAGCAGATCACCATGTTGAGCCTGGTTCGGCCAGAGGTTTCTTCCCATCGGGGAGTTTTTCCTCTCCACTGTCGCTTCATGCTTGCTCATCATGGACAGGTTCTCTCAACCTGTGTTTTCCAACTGGACTTCCATCTTCCAGGTCACAGAGTGAAGCTCTAGCATCAGCTCACGCCGTCCACTGGATCTCCCCATAAATCTCAGCAGACAGTGTCACTAACCAGCAGTCTGCAGACTGACCAACTTCATCTATCTCCACGCCACACTATCAAAATTCAGCGATAAGTTTCCTGCTGAGGTCTGAGCGCCAAAGACAAAGTGATTGTATCAATACATTTCTTGTAATTTTTTTTCTCTTCATTTGAGTTTTTCAGATTGAAAGGCAAGATTTGCGACCTGAAAGTTTCAAGAGGTGGAGTTGAACCGGGCAGTTTCTATACTTTGAACCTGATCAAACATCTGAAACATGTGAACAAACACAAAGAGATTGGAAAGACCGTAGCAACAAACCCTGGTATAAAAAAATTGTACAAGTCTTTTTCCTGCTTCACAAAGGTAGGCAGCAGCTTGACAAAGCCATGATGGCAATTATTTTACATCCAAGTAGGATGCAGTTCTTCATATATAAACACGCATCAATTTATAACAGATGGTATCGGCCGATACAGCACAGCCAGGTATCGGGGCCAAAAAATGGCATCGATGCAACACTAGTTTTTACACAAAATATGTATTGATCACCAGCTGGGGTATTGTTTCAACATAAATATCTGACTTAGAATAAATATGAGAAATAAAAGTGTGTAACCCACTGACCTTTTGGTTATTAAACAAATTTTTTCTCATGTTTCTGGTTAATTATCTGCCTGTGCCGTAAATTCTAGGACTAACTTTCTGTTAAACATTGTATCAGAAGATCAGCTTCAGTGACCAACAGCGATGTTGTAGTTTATAGACACAGTGTTAATTACAGCTCTATGTTGCTATGGTAACATGGAAGCTGCATTCAGCGCAGTTAAAAATAAAAACCACATCTTGATAAACGATCAGCGTATTTAAGGAGAGAAACATGCATGCGGGATTAAAAGCATCTAAAACATTTCAGTTTCTTGGTCGAATCAGTTCGGATGCAGGCATGCATGTGAGGATCACAGAGAGACGTGCACGGACATGCTGACTGTTCACCACACTTACCACTGATCAACACCTAGCACCACATTCACACATCTATAGGCACCAACAAAGGAAGAGAATCTGCAAACTTTCAGCTCAGATCGGTGCGTAAATATCCTAATCAATAAAAATCCACCGATTTATGATCGTGGTGTGGAGAGAGGCTGGTGTAGGAAGTTTTCTTATTTTATGTTGCTGAGATACAGACATATTCTGCAGATGTTTGGCAGCTCAGCTTTAGAGGAATTGCGTCACATTTAAAACGGGTCCGACTCTTTTCATGTAAAGCAGGAGATGCATGCAGGTGTTCTTTGATTATCCCTCATTCTAATAGAAGGTGTTGCCGCTGTTTTAATAAAGAAAGACCAAAATGCAGGCAGACAATATGGCCTTTGAGTAATAAAAGCTACAGCATTACAGTCTGCCTTGTATGGACTCTACAATCAATATTTGTGTAAGGGGCCATCAGAGGTAATGACTAAGCTGATGGATGGACTTCCTGTTATATTGGGTGTTGCTGCATACTGACTGGATATTTACCGTCTGTTCTTTGTGTTTGATGTAGAAATTGTAAAGCTACTAACGTGTAATAAACAATAATAGTAGCTGTTTTATTTTAAACACATGCATGTAAACTTTCTATGTTCATTTTGCTTTTTTGTTCTGTAGATTCTCTCTTACTTGTGTGTGGTCCTGTTTCTTTGCTCTAATTTCAACGTCTGTTACTTTGAGTGTGGAACCAACCAAAGAAAGTCAACTGCCTGTGATTGGCTACTTTTCAGGAAATCCCTCCTCTTAAGACAGCAACTCCTTCTTTATTGTTGTTGCTACTAATGTTAATAACAGCTCTGTTCGATTTCTTGGGCTGCGTCCTCATAAGGCCAGATTCAAAGGATGATTACGTCATAGCGCGACGCTATTCGGCCTATAAATGCGTCCTCCTTTTTGCTGATTTGAAGGATGGGTCTGATGTATCCTCACTATCCTTGGATATCCCAGGATTCATTGCAAGACCAAGTAAGCCGGCTGCTCCGTGATCAGAGGAAAGGTTACTTAGCGCCAAACAGAGGAGAATATTGGAAGTTCAGTTTAATATAATCCAACTATGTGAATGATTCCATCTGAAATTAATGAAAATAGTTGTTGGTTAATGAGTCAAATAATGTTTGATTTATCTAAAGGTTTTTATCTGTTACTGTGTAAATGGGTTTGTCTGTAATTTGAGGACAGATTCTAATAGATCTGCAGTGTGGGGACTGTACATTTTATTGCTGTTTTGCACAATTTGCTTAACTAAGTATTTTTTCATGTTTAATATAAGAGATTTTGAAAATATATTTTTTATACATACATTGTATAGGTTTACCTACATCTTTCTACCCGTTTTATAAAATAGAATAGAATAGAAAATATCTTTATTGTCCAACAATGGGCAAATTTACAGCAGCAGAAAGATTGTTGAAAATAGTCACACAAATGAGGACCTTAGAAAAATGTTTAAGATTAACATAATAGTGCATAGTCAAAATATAAACATTAAAATACTGTAAAGTGCTTTAACAATATTAAACTATGCACCTGGAGAATAAATAACCAATATACAGCTATGGACATTTTTACAGTTTTGGATATGTGAAAATAGAAGCAACATCAGAGATGTGCAAAATGACAGCAGCAGGTTATTTAACTGACTAAGGTTTCTATCATTACATTTGATTTTATTTGCTCCCTGTGGTTGGCATCTAAATTCCACTCTCATTCTTATTAGTGTAGTTTTTATTCACTTTACGATAAAAAAAAAAGAAAATAAACAATTTTGGAAAGTTCGGTATTAATTATTTTCCTTCTTTGTGTGTCAACATGTCACAGTTGCTAGGCGACAGAGCGTACGCCGAAGGCTAGACCTGTTTGAATTCACAGCCAATTTTCTTTCGGTCTCCTTATTTTCAATGACTTTAAAGGATCCAGTCCAGTTTGACCGCGTCCTTGGAAGACGCAGCCCATAAATTCGAACACATCACTTTTTTTTTTTTTTGAAAGTGCAGGAAGAAGTAGTGTTTTGTTTTTTTTGATTCAGTGTTTAATTAATTCTTAAGGGCTATGGAGTTAATTTTGTAACATGAATTATCAAGCAAAGAAAATGATTTCTAAATGGAAATTTGCATATAATGCAATTATGTAAGGAATGTTTTAATAAGAATAAAGTTATGTAGTAACTTTCTCTTTTATTTTATTCTTTTTTATCATTTTATTTTTTTGTTTTTTTTGTTTTTCACAGATTTGTGATTTCAAATCTAATTTTCAAAACTTTATTTATTCAAAACCCATTTTTCTAGATCTTTTTAAATTTCTTCTTGCACAACTAATTTTCTGCAAAAAGCAGATTGTTATATTTTCTTCCACGATATGTTAAAATTCTTAAACAATTACTGTATGTATGTTTAAAAACAAGTTCAACCCTAATGACAAAAACGATCTAAATAAAATATTTATCAGGTACTTTCACGTCTTTCTTCCTGAATATTCAATGCAGTTGTGCTTTAAGGAAACCCTGTTCAAACCTTCATTTGTAGATCGACTTTATATTTAAAACTATAAGTTGGTTGTTTTTCATTTTTAGCCAAAGTTTTTTTAGGAAAAATAATAAAACTTCCAGAGATTTAACTGTGGCTCTGAAGCTACGGGTTGCAGATCTCTGCTATAACTCTGGAAGGTTTACAGGGCTGTGTGACCGTGTTGTTTCTTGTTCTAAATATCCAGAGTTACTCAGCCTCTCATCCAATGATCACTGAAGATGGACAACATAGCAGCCTATCTGGTTGTTTATGTTTTTGTCACAAACAGTGAATCCACTAATCTGTCTAAATAATTTTTCTACTGATAAATAAATTCAGTAAATTACAGATGCTCCCCCTTTTTTCCATGACTGACTAATTTCTCCTTCACCTAAAACAGAACATCATGTGTCTTTTAATAGTTCATCATCTAAACTGTTATAACATAAAGACACACAGACCCCACCCCCCCTGCAGGTGACTCACCTTAAGGTCTCTGTGTACCACCCCCATCTGATGGCAGTGGAGTACGGCCTCCAGGATCTGCTGGATGCAATGACTGCATGCAAACAGCAGGGGGAGCAGGTTAGTCCAAACACATTCAGCCCACCACAGTCACATCCGTGCAGAAGCACCAGTCCGCCACCAAAAGCCCCCCTACAGAAACACACACTGATGAGACCTATGAGGATTATAACTGTCTGGAACTGATCAGGGCAAAAGGTGAACCGCTTTTTTTTCTCTACAATGTGCCAAAAGTTGCTCATATATGGAGTGAATTTTGTTCCATTATTGTTGCAAGCAAAGAACAGATATTGTAAAATGAATTTTAACAACAATTCAACCAAAAACAAGCAAACTGATAGGTTTTGGGCATAACTTTGCGGTTTCCTCAGTTTTAATTTTTCCCATTTTTTTTTCCAAATTTATTTTTCATATTCAGATTACAGATTTAATATGGTCAAATTATATATTCTGTTTTAATTTCAGATTCTATAGTTTCTTTTTTTTCTAATTTCTGTTTGTCAGATTGAGTTTTATGAATTTCATTCTGTTTAAAATGTGTTTTACAGATCACTCTCTTTACTTCTGGGGGTTGAGCTTTCCTCCAGAGTGAGGAAGACACATTTCTATTGGTCTGCATGGATGTTAGCAACATTTTTATTGGTCAAGAACAAACCCTTGTTCTGGGCATGAAGACAATGTGATCTGTATAACGTAATTTCAAAAGAATGCAATTTTCAAAAACAAAAACTCAATATCAAAGACAGAATTTAAAACAACTAAATAAAATTGTGAAAAGTTTTTTGCAAAAAGAGAAAAAGTACATCACTTTTTTTCTAAGTTTTGTTCCTGGATCACTTTTTTTTTTTTTTTTTTTATTGATAAAACCTGTTTCTTTTCTTGCGTCATATATTGAACAGAATTCACTCCATACTCAAGACAGACAGCACATGTTGATTTGCAGCTCTGTGGGGAGACCCTCCGTCTAACCTGCATGTTTTTCTCTCATTTATTTTTATAACACCCACTTTCACCCACTCCAACGTATCCTTGCACATACTCACACTCTTGCTCTGGGGCTCAGCAGATCTGTTGGTCCTGCTCACCAGGACCAACAAGAACCAATCACCATGGTTTAAAGTAGTGCAACAAGAATCCCAAAAAGCAAAAGACGCACAAGGAGGCAGACGGACTGACAGCAGGCTCAGGCAAATCGCTTTAAATCGCAGGCATGTTTTAGAGATAACAGCATAAGACACAGGCATGGGAGTGCAGGGACACAATGAGACATAAACACACCTTGAGGTCCCTGTGCACTATGTCATGTTGGTGCGTGTAAGACACACTGTCTAGAATCTGATGGATACAGTGACTGCGGAGACAAAACGACAGGGTGAACGGCAGAAAAAGGAGACAAGAAGGGAGGACAGAGCTCAGGGATGGTTAGACAGAAAGCTGCAGGGACAGACTGGGAGGAAAGGGGGGGGGGTCAGGAAAGACATTGGGAGAAAAACTAACGTAGTAAAAACAGACAGTATTTCTTGTTTGGGGGATTGAAAGAAAATGCCTCTAGTCCTTAAAGCTTAAAAAAAAAATCCAAGCATAGATCTGCAGACTTTGCAGCTGCACTCTGTGTTTTGCTGACTGTAAAGACATCAATGATCCGACATTTCATTTTGTCTTTTAAAGAAGCTAGAGAAAAGGAAAAAATTCTGTTTATATGGATGTTTTCTGATTCGCATTTTTAAATTTTTGTTTAAACATTATGAGAACTTTTGCTTTGTTTTATAAGAACAGGAAGTATGATATTACCATATTTCCCATAGTACAAGCCCTTTGCTACGTTCAGACTGCAAGCAGCAGAAGCAGCTAGTTTACATGCAAAGTCAATGGTTGACGCGCATCAAGGCGCAGCAAAAGGTCCTGCAGCGCATTTTGAACAGCTGAAGCAACGCCGATATATATAACGCCTCATGAGCTTCTGAGCATCTGACACATCAGAAGCAGCAAAAGCAGATTTGGAAAAATTTAACTTTTACTGATCAACGCGCCGCACCAACCAAGAGAAGCTGATCTGGGAGCTGGCAGGGAGACAGACACAGCACTGCTGATGCAGAGCGCTATGATCACTCCTCTGAAACAGTTTAGTAACATCTAAATTAGTTAGAGGGAGTGGTGGCCTAGTGGTTAGGCCATTGAGTTCGGATCCCAGAGGTTCTGAGTTCGAGCCCCACTGCCAATCTGGGTTCCTGAGCAATACCCTTAACCCCACACTGCTCCCCGAGCGCCACACAATGGCGGCCCACTGATCCCAAAAGGGATAGGTTAAATGCAGAGAGGGAATTTCATTGCTTTGTACTTGTGTCACTGTAATGACAAAAAGCTGAACCGTCTCTACTCTAAATAAACTTAAAATTTCAAAACCTGCCAGCAAAAAAAATTTCACTTTTATTATTCTGGTGCCTGCAGTTTGGCTGAAGTATGTGAAAAACGCCTTCCAGCCGCCACGAACAGTAGCGGAAAACAGCGAAGATCTGCTCGGGGCCCCGCCCCTTCCAGTGTTGCCAACTCAGCGACTTTGTCGCTATATTTAGTTTTTTACAGTAAATGAACCGCGTGCATGCGCCGGGTTTGACGG